CCCTTCTTGAGCAAAGGGTAAGTTTGGTTTTTAAGTCACCAGCTAACCAAACAAGCATCCTTACCTAAAGTTCATTTCAGACTTTCTCTTGATGAATGAAAGAAACATTAACTCGAAAATGAACCACAAAAGAACTGCAGGGAAGTTCCTGATAACTATAAACTTCTCTGTGCTGGTGAATCTAATGACCCACTGCTGCAAACCAACACATGCTTAATTTAATGGATGATTGTAAAACAGTTTTACAGTAAAACAAATCCCGTGTACTTGCACACTGGGATACAAAAGCAGCATTTAGACATATGTTGCCAGTGCTTGAACAAAGCCAGAAAGTCCAGTCACTTTTTCAAGAGATTTGCTGTGAGGCGTCTATCAATGATGGTCGAAGTCCAGAGGACTTGCAGGAAGACTTTTCTCTCCCTTGCTGTGCTGTTGTCAGCTGAGATCACTGTGTCTTGGACGCTGGGCTCAGTGATGACGGGGCTCATCTTAGAAAAGCTCATCCTGCAGGCTCGAGCTGAAAGCTGCTCCAAACAGCTCTCTGAGCAACAGTGGATCATTTGTAGATCAAAAAAGTCCAGTCACTTTTTCAAGAGATTTGCTGTGAGGCGTCTATCAATGATGGTCGAAGTCCAGAGGACTTGCAGGAAGACTTTTCTCTCCCTTGCTGTGCTGTTGTCAGCTGAGATCACTGTGTCTTGGACGCTGGGCTCAGTGATGACGGGGCTCATCTTAGAAAAGCTCATCCTGCAGGCTCGAGCTGAAAGCTGCTCCAAACAGCTCTCTGAGCTGGTTACCGTAAGGGTGCTGCTAGCAATCTGCAGCAGCAGCCCTCAACCAGATGCTTCTTACTAAAAAAGGCAGGCTGATAAAAAGTGGTGAATATAAAATCAGACTTAACATCCTATCACGAGGCAAAATACACCCAGTTCATTACTGTTTGTTCTGTGTAAAATGAAAGCATGGAATCTTAATTCCTGGGAGGAAAATTTGGTCACTGTAAATGATCCAAGCTTCTTTTCTTTTTTTTTTTTTTTTTTTTTTTTTTTGGGTTAAGCCAGGGAAAAAAAAAAAAAAGCCATTTTAGAATGGGGG